GATCTCAACTCGTTTTGTGTAGAACTTATGATCTGAAACACACTGCCAAGGCTGCAATGGAGTAGCTAAAGAACCAGTACATGGAGTGGCCCAGCCAATCTCCAGACCTAAGTCCTATAGAAATTCTGTGAAGGGAGCTGAAGCTTGGAGTTGCTAAGCAGCAGCTAAGTAACCTAAAGAATTTAGAGAGTTTCTGTAAAGAGGAGCGGACCAAAATCCCTCATGAGATGTGTGCAAACCTGGTAACCAACTACAAGAAAGTGTTGTGCACACCAACAAGAGTTTCTCCCCCGATTACTAAGTGATGTTTTGCTTGGACATCAAATACTTATTTCACTCAATAACATCCAAATAAATGTATAACTTTTATGCAAAGTGTTTTTTTGATTTTTATTTATTTGGGCAAACTTACAAATTCAGCTGGGGGGGGGATCAAAATTATTTCCCTAACTGGATTACAGAAAATAAGCCAGTCAAAAATCACTCATGTTATGAATGTGTATTTATTCCTTCACCTCACCCCAAAAGTTTGAAGAAGACTTTCTCTCTGAGGGAAAGAATAATTTCAAATGCAAAACCGTTGCAACGGCATGAATATTGCCGTAACTTACGAGTGAAACGTAATACAGACTGGAGTTACAACACGAAACGGAAACACTGACATGATAAATAAACTGATTATCCTACTCCAGAGAAGAGAAAATACACAACTGACATTCAAAGTCTTTTAAAAATGTCATTAATTCAAAAAAAGGATACAAAAAAATTAAAACTGGAAAATTTAGTCAGCAAAATACATTTTATACAGCATGTTATGCAATACAGAAAATAAGTAACATAAAAAGCAACATTTAAAACAAATCACATCATATATCCACATTGTACAAACATGTTCAGCAAAGTGTGCTCTGTATATGTAGGGGTGTGTTTATGTTTACTTTGTATTCTGATACATGGCAGTGTATAAGCGTATCCTGTTGTGATAAATGATGCTATGGTTGATGATGGGGCTGGGCTCAAGGCTCGTTGATCTGGCCCATGAAGAGGACGGTACCTGGAGACAGACGCAAGGAGAACTCGTCACGGTGCCGTGCTTTACAATCAAACATTTTTCAGCATTTTAAGGTGGAAATGGAAGAAAATCTGTACCTGTCGGGTTATGTCTGATGAGGAACGCAAAAGGTCTGTCAACTGTAACCCAGGGTGGAGAGGAACGGGCCAACAAAATAGCAGCTAAACAAAAGCAAAAAAAACAACAACCACAAAACAGAACATTGTTAAAACATGGGAGAAACTTTAAGTTAAAGATGAGGCTTACTGAACAAATGCTCACTAGTGGCTGCTGCTGCTTTTGTTCCATCTTCATTCACGATTATTTTGGCTTTCTGGAGTGCCTTGGATACATACACAGGCTCCGAACCTGAGGAAATGACAATACACAATCATCTTTGCTTTCTCAGTATGAACCAGACCTTCCACATGCAACATAGATTGCATATAGGGATGGGTATCGTTTAGGTTTTATCCGATACCGGTGCCAAATCGGTACTTTTGAAACGGTGCCGGTGCT